TGAAAACAGTCTGGTACTGGCGTAAGAACAGACAGGAGGACCAATGGAACCAAATAGAAAACCTGGATATCAATCCACACATCTTCAAACACCTGATCTTTGATAAAGAAACAAAAATTATCAAAGGGAAAAAAGAAAGCATATTTAACAAATGGTGCTGGCATAACTGGATATCAACATGTAGAAAAATGAAAATAGACCCATATCTATCACCATGCACAAAACTCAAGTCCAAATAGATCAAAGACCTCAACATAGAGTCAGCCACACCGAACCTTATAGAAGAGAAAGTGGGAAGTACACTTGAACGCATTGGCACAGGGAACCACTTCCTAAATATAACCACAGCAGCACAGACACTGAGAGAAGCAATTAATAAATGGAACCTCCTGAAACTGAAAAGCTTCTGTAAAGCAAAGAACACGGTCAACAAGACAAAAGACAGCCTACAGAATGGGGAAAAGATCTTTACTAACCCCACATCAGACAGAAGTCTGATCTCCAAAGTATACAAAGAACTCAAGAAATTGGACACCAAAAGATCACATAATCCAATAAAAAAAAATGGAGTACAGACCTAATCAGAGAACTCTCAACAGAGGAATCTAAAATGGCTGAAAGACACTTAAGGAAATGTTCAGTATCCTTAGTCATCAGAGAAATGCAAATCAAAACAACTCTGAGATTCCATCTTACACCTGTAAGAATGGCCCAAATCAAAAACACTGATGACAACTTATGCTGGAGAGGTTGCGGGGTGGGAGTGGGGGGACGGCGGGGGGGTACTTCTGCATTGCTGGTGGGAATGCAAGCTGGTACAACCCCTTTGGATGTCAGTGTGATGATTTCTCAGAAAATTAGGAAACAACCTTCCTCAAGACCCAGTAATACTACTTTTGGGTGTATATCCAAAGGATGCTCAATTGTGCCATAAGGACATGTGCTCAACTGTGTTCACAGCAGCTTTGTTTGTCATAGCCAGAACCTGGAAACAATCTAAATGCCCCTTGATCGAAGAATGGATAAGAAAAATGTGGTACATTTACACAATGGAGTACTACACAGCAGAAAAAATAACAGCTTGAATTTTGCAGGCAAATGGATGGAGCTAGAAAACATTATTTTGAGTGAGGTAACCCAGACACAGAAAGACAATTAGCACATGTACTCACTCATAGGTGGTTTTTAAACATAAAGCAAAGAAAGTCAGCCTACAAACCACAATCCCAGAAAATTTAGACAACAATGTAAGTCTCTAGGAGAGACTTACATAGATCTAATCTACATAGGAAGTAGAAAGTATAAAAAGACAAGATCTCCTGAGTAAATTGGGAGCATGGGGACCTTGGGGGAGAATTGAAGAGGGGAGGGGAGAGGCAGGGAGGGGAGCAGAGAAAAATGTAGAGCTCAATAAATATCTATATCTATATCTATATCTATATCTATATATATATATACACACACACACTGAGAGTTGGGGATGGTGGCACTAACTTGTAATCACAGCTGCTTGGGAGGGTAAGACAGGAGGACTACAAGTTGGAAACCAGCCTGGGCTACAAAGTGAGTTCAAGGTTAACCTGGGCAATTTAGCAAGACCCTGTCTCATAACAAAAAAGGATTAGACTTTAAAATTAAAAACATAGATATACAAGCAATACTAAATAGACCCAGCCAAAAGTCCTGGTTTCAACACTCAGTACCATGAAACAAACAAAATAAATGGAAAGCAAAGATTCAAATTAGCCACAACAGACTTAAAGGTAGGTAGATAGAGAAGATATTTTACTTAGCCAGACGGTGGTGGCGCACACCTTTAATCCCAGCAATTGGAGGCAGAGGCAGGTGATCTCTGTGAGTTCGAAGTCAGCCTAGTCTACAAGAGCTAGGACAGGCTCCAAAGCTACAGAAACCCTGTCTTGAAAAACGAAACAAAACAAAAAAACCAAACAACAACAAACTTCATTAGGAATGGATGTGGCAATACAGATAAGTGAAAACAAGGTAAACTACTCAAAACAGATAATAGTGCAGTTAATTATCTATGTGGAAGAAATTATACCAGATTCCTTTCTCAAATAAAGCTAGTGAAAGGTAAATTAAATAGCTCAGTTTCTACTACCAATAATAACAATAATGAAAATTTTAGTTTTTAACATTCTTTACTATGTTTATCTATGGGGGGGGGGGACAGTGCTGAAAGTATATATGGAGGTTAGAGGACAACCTGCCACCATAGATTCTCCCTTTCCACCACATGGGCCCTGGGAACAGTGAGGGTCTTTACCCAACAGGTTAAGATAGTGAGGCCATGAGTTCCAGGCCAGCCTGGGCTATACTACAAGACCTTGTCTGAAAACAATAATAATAGTGATAATAATAATAAGTGAGTAAATCTCCACGCACAGTGGTGTGTACCCAGTGTCCTAGATACTAGGGATGCTCAAGTCTAGTCCAGAGTCAGCTTGAGAGACAGCAAGATCCCACCTCAAAACCACAACAACCCCAATAAACAGAACAAGGAAATGAAAATATACATCCACGTAAAAACTTATATAAATTTATTAGAAGCAGCATTCATCAAAACAACCAAAAATGGTGCTGGAGATGGCTCACCAGTTGGGAGCACTTCTTGCCCAATGAGAGGGCTAGAGTTTAGATTCCAGAACCTTAATCACGGTTCACAGATGCCCATAATTCCAACTCCAGGGCACCTGATGCCCTTTTCTGACCACCATGGCCACCTGTATACACACATGTACACATACAAACACGTAAAAAAAACATTTTAAAAATAAAAATAACCCCACCCAAGCACAGTGACACGTCTGTCTAGAATCAAAGCACTTGGGTAGCAAATAAGATTATAGTATAAAGTGGCCTCCTTTATACTGAGCTCCAGACTAGCCAGTCTACACAATCAATCAACCAATCAGTGAACAAGCAAATCTGAATGGCCTCCAAATGATGGAAGAATAAGTAAAGGCAATACATGTATCTAATAAAACACAATAAAAATATACGTGCTATAATAGAAACTTTATAAAGTTCCTGGGGAGGTGAACTGTAAAACATGTGTACTCATGTATGAAGCTGTTAAAAGAATTTTAGAAATGGTAAGTGAAAGGAAAGCCAGCCACAGCAGGCCACATGGTGCATGTTTCCACTAGTATGAAATGCTCGCACTAGGAAAATCTATATTCATATAGTGGGATGGAGGTTGCCTAGAGCTCTGTTGGAGGCGAGATGATATCTATCACCCTGTGCAGCTGCAATTTCAAAGCCTGCATGATATCCAAATGTTGAATTAAATACAGTGGGTTGTGTATAATCCCTGCACTAGGGAGACAGAGACAGGCAGAGCTCTATGAGTTTGAGGCCAGCCTTATCTTTCTTTATCTACGTAGTGAGTTCCAGGCCAGTCAGTGAGACCCTGCCTGCAAAACACATGCTAGAGTATAAGCTTAGCCTGATTTTTCAAATGGCCTTGAAATGTTAGAATATTGATAGCTACACCCCATAAACAATTCAGCAGCACTATTTTCAGACTTCCTGTTAGCATGTGTCCTGAATAACTGAAGATAAAAACACAACTATTCTTTCTCTCTGATGACAGTATTAGCAGCAAAAGTACTCAGGAAGGAGGCGGCAGAAAGTTCCCTGAGCACTAGGACAAACAGTGGCGTACACACACACACACACACACACACACACACACACACAGAGTAAACAGTCTGACAAACACTGACAATCTCCCATTCTGGACTATTTACATCAGATGGAAATTTTTAGATTTTTTTTTTTTCACCCCAACAGGCAGCACTGCTTTGCGATCTAAATGTGACTACATATCCAGGGGTTACATAGGAAAGAACTTTCTATGTTAGTCTTCCTCCCAATTCTGTCATTCTCCCTGGGTGCATGCCTGCTTTCTGTTACTATAAAAGACGTGCACCGCGCGGTAGAGGGGGTGGGGATTTCACAGGCAAGATTTACCCATATTGAAACTCAATGTGGGCTATTATAGTGGAGTTTTACAAGACAGTTGGCATTTCCCAATTTTGTGCATTGAAAGGTTAAAAGAGGAAATGAATTTCCTCAGATTCGCCAAAACTATGTACGTTATTCTTAAGGGACTGGTCCCGAAAGACTAACAAACCACACAGTTTAAGATAGATTAAGCAAGACCAGTATTTTAATACATTTTGCTTCTATGTGAAAGATAATAGATTTTAGATTCAAGTATCATTTGCACACCCTAGGAAGCTCAAAATGGGGGAAGCCAAAGGAAGCAGGCAAAATAAAGATGACTACCATTAAAAAAAAAAAAAAAAAAAAAAACTCCTTGATGGTGAAGTTCCTCCCGCTGCCATATACCGATTCAACTCCCTCCTCCGATTGCAAACCGGTGCGCGGTAACAGTTACCACCACAGTAACAGTGTAGCAACTGACAACTGGTTCTCCAGAGCAGAGAGCGAAGTGAAGTCTGTCTCCCAACCAGTACTTTAGAAATGAACTCACCTAGACTCTGCCCCTTCCCTCTCGGCTTCTCTTTAACCCTCGTGCTTGGCTGCTGGAACGTGCCTGTGTCGGAATTACACTACCGTTCCGAAAACACTGTCTAGCAAGAAAGTTAACGACTTCACATCGGAAACACCACGTTTCACAGTGAGACTGGGTCTTGGTTACCAAATGTTTCATTTAAAGCAAAAAGCATCACCATTACGCTTGAGACGAACTAAGTTTAAAAACTCAAACCAAGCTGAAGGAAAATGCACGACGACACGAAAAGTGTTTCCTGGAGGGGGGTTGTCTAAGAAACTATATTTAACTGTATTAATACAGTTTAGTGGTTAAATCCCAAGATTTCCTCCATCGCTTAATTTTCTAGAACTCTGACAGGGCCTGCTTGTGAGTACTGTGCGAACTCGTGGGTAGGGATTTAGAACTGGAAGAGCCAAATTAAAACAAGTGCAGAGAGCCAAGGGGCGTAGCGTACCTGCCAGCGGCCGTAGGTGAGCAGGACCATGGCGATGGGGATGGCGGTGCCGGACATGGCATGCGTGGAGGGCATGCTGTACTCTGAGTTGTAGAAGATTTCCAGCTTGACGACCGGCGGCGAGGCCGGCCGCGGCCAGCGGATGATGTCCTTGGTGCACTGGCCCAGGTACATGACCAGCACCCAGATGATCACCAGCCTCCGGCCCACGAACGGATCAAGGTTCCAGATCCAGAAGGGGAAGAATAAGATGTAGAAGAGCTCGTTGCCCAGCTCGGTGCCGAAGCTGAACAGGTAGTAGAGCGGCCAGTTGCTCACCCTGACCAGCTCGCCCTCCTCGCCCGTCAGCGAGTTGCGGCGCAGCGAGCCCGCGCGGCGGGGCCCGGCCGGGCCCGGC